TTTGGAATTATCCAGTCCCCAGGGAGAGCGGGGGAGGGACAGTTCCAGCTGCACAATTGTCCTGGCCCCCTTTGTTGGTGTCTATATTATGCAATCATATTTAACAACATTATTAGTTTGCTTTTCTCGTCTCTTGGTTAGGAAAGAGTTGTTGTTGTTTTTTCATTAGAAATGTAGGTTTTCATCCTTAAGGGAAATGACTAAGTGTTTGCATCATTGAGGGAGAATAATTGACCCTGCTGCCATCACCAAAAAAATCTTGCCAATCAATGACAGTTGCTTCAATTCTCCTGAGTGTGTGCTGTGAGCACTAACCATAAACATGGTTTGATTCACTGATTCCAGCCTGTACCTGCAGGATGGGAGTAAAGCTACCCTCATGACTTTGTTTGGACGATGACAGACAAGTTACTGTCCATTTTCAGAAGGCAGGAATTATTTTCAAGATCTTTCTTTGCTTTAGTTCAGTGAGTCTTAGCCTGATTCTAGGAAAAACTCACTTGAGATTGAATATGGTTCTGCACACCTAGGAGACTGAAGCAGGGAGAGTGCAAGGCCGAGGTCAGACTGGGTGATGATAATGAGACCCTGTCTCAGAAAACACAAGCAAAAACTCAGTTCGGGACTATTCACCTCCTCCTAATTTATTTATCCATGGCTGGATGTTTCCGCGCAAAATAAATGCAATGCAGATATCAAAGAATATTTACCACTTTAATGATAAACTTACAGAACCAGAGTTCCAGTGTAGTACAGGAGGTAGGGAGGAAAAAAGGGCCGAGCCGCCTCCCCGAGAGCCCATTTATTGGCAGGCATTCACCAGAGGCAAACCCCGCCCCCTAAAGGGGCTGTCTTAACCCTACAGCTGGACTATTGCATATGGTAGCTACAATCCACGCATAGTCATCTGGAGTTAAACACAACTACGTGCTTGGTCCCTTAGTTGCATTTGCTATATATCGTGTGCTTTTTATGGCCATTGTATTAGATTAGGCATGGACACAGAATATTTGATAATCAAGAAAAATTCATTGGAACCATGTGCTTTTGTAGTACTGCAAGCTTCTAGGATCATACCTCCTCTTAGCTTCACGGCTCACATGTTGTGTGGTAATTGCCTGCCTGGCGTCTTATTCTAGGGTGGAAGCTCACCATGAGGAGGGGCTGTGTTGAGTGTGTTGCTTCTTCCACTAGTGTCCCTCCTCACCCCGACTTCCTGGCTACAGACTCAATGGGCCGATGGGAGGAGCACCTCGTTCTGAGTATTGGAGGATGAAGGGTGCTCTCTTCTGTGAGGGCAGAGGTTCCCTGTTAAAGCCCCATTTTATAGAGCTCAGCCTGTGTTTTGAAAGCAGTCACAAATACACACAGTTCCCAAAACACACAAAAACGAGAGTCTACAGTTGATTGAAGATGGTCTTTAGCCACTGCCCTATGCTGTCCCTGAAGATTTTATAGCACCCCCGGGACCAGTAAATTTGAGACAGGAATCTTGTGGGAGCCCTACTGACACCGAGACCACCTCCGTGGGCCGGGAAGGTGGGGCTCAGAGGTTCTGTAACCTGTCTGTCTGCACACAGAGTGCTCCCCTTGTTGTCAGGCTGGTCTCTGGCACAGCTGCCCTGAGTCTCTTTTGGCTCAGAACAAGCCATTTCCAACTTGAATTTATGACCTGCAGTTCAATGCCACGGTGACGCCTGTAGCTGTCTTCTGTGAGCGGCAGAGCAGACAAGGGAACCTCTGCTAGTTTAAAAAGACACATTGTCTCTCCCTCGGTGTGTTCTCTTAAAAGGAAAACCACACTGTTTAAATATCAAAGATGAGCAAAAGCTAACATATGATTTAGGTGCTGTTAGCTAATTTGATCCTCACAGTAACACAAGACAGATATGTTAGTATCTTCATTGTTGGCAGATGAGAAAACATTGTCGCGGGGCCAGAAAACACAGGCAACTCCCCCAAGACTCAACAGTGTCTGTGTGGGTGCTGGAATCTATGCCCATGGTCTGTCTCCATGCTCCCAACTGCCAGGGCACACTACACTCACACTACAGACCAACAGAGCAGGCCAGAATACCCTCCTTGTTGCAAAAATCCACTCCAAGTCAACAACTAAGGGCCTCACATGCGATCGTTCTGCCCTCAAGAGCCTCTGTTCTGAGGTGACATCAAGACAGAGAGCCCTGGGCCACCTCTGTCTGCTGCATTGTCATGGGGAGGTCAGAGGAAAAGACATGGTTAGAGGAAGTCAGGGCTCAGAGCCTGGTGTTTGAAATCTGGGAGAGGAGGCTAGGCCCAGTGCTATACAACTCAGTTCTGAGGTAATTCCACGTGTGAAGCACCTCTCATAGCTACACTGGTTCCACAAAGAGTCAAGCAGTCCAGCCTTGCACTTAGATACTCGGATGTGTTTACCAGCAACACAGATTAAATTCTTCTTGTCTTGAAGCTCCAAGTTGGGGATCCCACTGTCTATCAAGTCACACAAAGTCATCTCAGACCATACAGGAAGCAGGAGTTGTGAGAGATTGTGATGGGGGCTCTCCTTGCCTGGGAGCATCGAAGAAGCCTCTGAAAAAAGAAGGTGGAGCCCAAAGGCAGCGCAGGGTGAGAGCAGCTAGATGGAGGAGGGGCACCTCTGAAGACGGAGCTGGCTAGATGATCAGAGAGGCTTTGTAAGCAGTGGTAAGCAGGGGGCACACAGATGCCAGCACTGAGGCCAGGGAGGGCCTGGGGTCGTATACTGTCAACCTGGAGCATCCCTGGTCTGTCCCAGGGGCAGCTGGACACCTCAAGGGTTTTAAGCAGGGATCCAGGGCGAGGATGTTAGGCAGAGGCCACGGCTCCCTCCATCCCCATTCAGGCACACTCAGTGTGGCAACCAAAGGCTTCTGAGATACCAAACCACATTGTCTCTCCTCACCGCTGTCTTCCTGCGTTGAGAGTCACACCCTCATACAGGGTCCTGGTGGGACCCTGTAGCTGGGATGTGTTCTGTGGACCAGTGGACACCCTGGGGGTCATCAGATGTATGTGGCGGGCAGTTGTTGCTAGCATTTGCTTTTTGTGGTTCTGTGAAAGTGTCTTCAGGCTCTTATTTGCTTGCATCACACAGTGGGACTACAGTACATCACACAGTGGGACTACAGTACATCAAACAGTGGGACTACAGTACATCACACAGTGGGACTACAGTACATCACACAGTGGGGCTACAGTACATCATACAGTGGGACTACAGTACATCAAACAGTGGGACTACAGTACATCACACAGTGGGACTATAGTACATCACACAGTGGGACTACAGTACAACACACAGTGGGACTACAGTACATCGAGACAGACCTGTGCCCACACCTCCCACCATCTGTGCACCTGGTACAGTTGTTCAGTCAACACCAACAGTACCCATTACCCACGTGTGCTCATGACCTTGCCTTCAAGTTCTACTGAGAGAGCGTGTAGCAGCAGCGGTTCTCAACCTGAGGGCCATGACCCCTTTGGGGGCTACATATCAGATATCCCATAGATCAGATATTTACATTATGATTCATAACAGTAGCAAAATTACAGTTATGGAGTAGCAAAGAAATAACTTTATAGTTGGGTATCACCAGACATGAGGAACTGTATTAAAGGGTCACAGCATCAGGAAGGTTGAGAACCATGGGACTACAGTGTCGGCCCAGGGCTCTGCTGTGGGTCCCATTCCAGGCCCAGCTGGGCTCATCAGGGGCCACTGGGTGGAAAAGTTCATAGCTTGTACTCGAGCAATCACAGCTGTTAACAGTGGTACATGGACAACCATCTCTGGTTTGATAAGTCTGGAAGATTCACTGTCAAATGTGCTTCTCAGTCTTGTTACTAATCGCTGTGCGGCACAACCACAGAGTGTACCAGCTCCAAACAGTGGATTCGCAGGGCCAGTTCCGGACTGTTTCAGGACTGGGCTCAGCTGGGTGATCCTTCTCATTTTCATCTCTGACAGCTGCAGTCAGTTGACAACTGGATCTCGCTCATCCTGAGGTCTATCCACGCACCGTTCCTGTGCCTGGGCTATTTTTTTTTTCTTCCTGTGCTTTGCACATGTGTCGATCATAGAGGGAATTCTGCAAGAACCTAGCTCTGTGACTTAGTGGCCTCTCCAAACATCACTTTCTCAGTTTTTAGCTGGTCAGATAAGTAGCTGAGAGCAGTTCAGCTTTAGATTGGATCCTACAGCTCAGTAGGACTAGCGGTGAGCACTTTGTAGTTACTTTTAGGTCACTGTAGAACTTGGGGAGTCGCTGCACATGGGGTTTATTGACAGTGACTGAGAATCCCGATCCTAAAGATTTCTGCTTCACACACTGTTTCCCAGGCTGACTATTATCATGGCCAGTCTTGAAATCAGGAAGTGCTTTTCGGCCAGAAATTCACTCAGCTTATATGTACTCCCCTGGAGAGCAATGACAGATGATAGATTTGGGGTTCAATGGTATTTAATACATAAAGTTTTCTGCACAGAAATTGGAGACTGAGATCTGCTTTTAAGGAAAAGACTAAATAGTGGTTGCGAGAGTCATGCCTTTGGGTGGAGAGGATGACGGTCTTCCAGGTCACAACTTTGATTTTATTTTCCACAGATTTAGGCTTGGGCTGAGATCCCCACTCTTCAATGCTGCATGACATTGGTCCAGTCACACCTTTCCGGGCTGCTATTTCCTTATCCACAAAGTCAGGGTAGTTGTGAAGTCTGACAAAATCCTGCATGTGGATCCCTTGGCACAGCCTGTTTATGGGCAGTCAATGGACCTCGCTATCCTTAGGATGTGACAGGAAAGCTTCATCAGATAGATTTGGTGTCTGCTTGGTTCCTGCATCTCTGGGATTTTATAGCAAGGTTTATCTGGAATTTGCTTACTAAGGACAAGCCAATACTGGAAGCCATGGGTCTCTCCCTATTTTTCTTGCAAAAATAACCTCTGTGCCATTTCATTTTTTTTCTCTTGATGTAGTTTCTCATAAGTGACCGTGATCCTCAGTGCAACCTCCACTGCTCCAGGACTCAACCCAAACCCATCTGTGCCTCTGATGGCAGGTCCTATGAATCCATGTGTGAGTACCAGAGAGCCAAGTGTCGGGACCCAGCCCTGGGCGTGGTCCATCGAGGGAGATGCAAAGGTGAGTGACCGCACTGAGCTGCGAAGGATGCCAGCTGGGGCTGCAGCTCCTGTGGCGTGATAGCCTCATTGAAAGCTTGAATGCTTTTGGCTTACTCTTCTGTCCCTCTGTGTCTTCCATCAGTGTGAGGGGAGGAAGGGAGCGGTGCCTGAAGAGATGAACACTTCCCTGCTTCAGACACTGCCACCAGTGTGGAGCGAGGGTCTCTCTGGCCAGTGTCTTGTTTGTGGTTTTATTTCAAGATGGAGACCCAGTACATTACTGCTGGCCCTGGGGTAGGGATTCCAAATCATTGGTTCATGGAAGTGTTTTCTTTGGACTGCTTTAAAGCATGGAAAGTATTTGAGATAACATTTATAAAATTGGGAGATCAACGACAGCAACAAATCTGGCTTTCTGTTCCTCTCTTCCAAAGTCATCAGGTCTGGTACTATCCGGTTTGTTGGAGCAAAGCAACACATAGCCAGAGCTGAGACACTTGCAGTCCCTAGAGCGGAGCTTGCTTTCTGGTTCGCTACCATCCTCAATCCTCCTTCGGGTTTCTGAGCTCTGCATGTGATCCTACTCAGACATAATCTGTGTTGCTTTCCCGAGTCCTGTAGATATTTGAGCTTGTGACCCTCGATTGCTTAAAGCCAGCATAGGAAATGCAGAGGGCTAGCAGGTTGTCCCAGACATTTGATTTTTCTCAAGAAGCGAGTGCTAGCATTGCTGTGTAGCCCTGACCAGCCTGACACTCACTATGTAGCCCAGGTTGACTCCAGGCCTTCCATCAGAGCCTTCCTAGTACTGGCATTACAGATGTGCACCACCACACTCCTCTCATAGTTCCTGGATTTATTAGCTTTAGAAGAATCCTGGGAGAATGGCTGGAAATGGAAACCAGCCCTCACCTCATGGGCAAAGGGACATTTGAGAGAGAGAGAGAGGGAGAGATAGAGAGAGAGAGGGAGAGAGAGAGAGAGAGAGAGAGAGAGAGAGAGAGAGAGAGAGAGAGAAGCAGAGCCTGGGCTAATATGCTTGCTTCTCTTCTACTTTTCTGGTATTGCATTAAGAGGACGGTGAGCTCGAGTGGCCATCTTGGGCACAGGCCCTGCGCTCTCACTGCTGATCAGGCTGGTAGCATGCCGCCCCTCCCCAAGGCGGAGGGTTTTGCTCAGCGTTCCTCCCATGGGGCAGCCATTTTGGGCCCTGGCTTCTGTGTGGAATCCAAGGGAAACATACGATGTCCTCCTCTCCCCGTTTAGATGCTGGCCAGAGCAAATGTCGCCTGGAGAGGGCTCAGGCCTTGGAACAGGCCAAGAAGCCTCAGGAGGCTGTGTTTGTCCCAGAGTGTGGTGAGGACGGCTCCTTCACGCAGGTGAGGTCTCAGAAGGGTTTCTCGGGTTGCTTGCTGGACTTAGGCAGAAGGGGGATGTCCAGAGAGCACTAGGGTCATTTGGCACCTTCACTTTCTGCCAAGGGCTGGGCGAGTGGCTCTTCAGCTCCCTTCTGTATTGTCTTTCCCCTTGTGGGCCCTCCACGCCACTCCTCGCGCCAACTGGCAGTGGGCCCTGACAAGATGCATGGGAGTCTGAGCCAGGAAACTGGTATGGCTGGGTCCTCGTCCTCCCTGCTGGCTGTCTTTTCTGAGGGCCAGACCTGCGTTTCTTTTTTTTTTTTTCTCTTCTGTCAAATATGGGTTGATTATTTTCTCTCATCCCTGCCAGTTTCTACAGGCAACCCCAGTATTCCCTGCACTATTTATTGCTGCCCCTCCACACACTCTTGTCATGTACCCCCTTGAATGAAACAGCGCCCTCTTTGAGCACGAAGTCTGCCAGGGCTCCAAGCACACGCCCTGAGATGCTCAGATACTCTTTCCGTAGTTCCAACGTCTCCGGCTTGGTTTCCTGTCTAGTGCTTTGCATAAAAGCAGGGGAGGATACATTTCGTAGCAGCTGTGGGACGGTAAGATACAGCTTCAAAAAGCTTCTAGGCTGCTCCCTAGGGCGCCCCTGGAGTAGGGAGAGCCACAAGACACAGTAAACTTAGTCAGGTTGGAGATTTGTCCCTGTGCCTGCCACGCCCCTCACCTCAGGGTCCTCTGATCCGTTTAGAGGGAATCTACCCTTTCAGAGTTAGAAGTGACAACTTTGGGTTTTAAAAGCTTCTCTGTAAGTCTGGATGGGGGCGGGGGGGGGGGGGACACAGGGTGGGGATGGTCAAAGGGGCTTCAGATTTCACTTCTTGGTGAGGTCTAGGGCATTATTGATTTCAGACCAATACCCTCTTGGGTAGTAACATAGAGAGATGATTGGTGGGGGTTGGACTTCTACATTGTTAATGTTTCTCAGTTGACTGAAACCTGTAACCAGTCTGGAGAGCAAGGCTGGAGAGAGCACAGGGATAAAGTGACCTTGGCCATCAGCCCTGGGTGAGGTACTTGTTTTGACTTCCTGTTTAAAGCTTTGCACAGCCATGGGAGGTAGCGTCATTATCCCTATTTATGGAAGATGAATGCACCGTCATGCCTTGGAGGGGAGAGCTGGGTTCAAGCCCAGAGCACATCCAAAGATCTCTATGTTCTGCTGCTCTCTGAACTGGCAGACCCAGAGGAGACTCTGAGGAGCGCACCAGGAAGATATAGTCTAGGGCCGTGGTTGGTGCCCTTACCTGGTTGGGGCTGACTGTCTGGGCTGGAGGCCAGCTCACATAGACAAGTTACCTAGGTTCTCAGGGTGCTTATCTGAAAAAAACAGAGACGATTATCTGCACGATTGTTATGTTATACATATGTGATACATTATTATGATGTCATGAGCATTATATATTACTCTTATGTTCTGCATGACATATTACTATTATTAGTGGTTATTATTCCACTTCCCTTGTAAGGCTGTGAAGAGGATTAAATGAGCTAACACAAGGGAAATACTTGGAACATATGGGCGTCATGTAAGCATTTACCAGCGTCCTTGTGATTCCCATCTCTGCTGTGGGTCTCCAACTTAGATCTCCCCAAGATCTCATGGCCGGCACTACTTAAGAGTGGGAGAGGGCACCCAAAACCTTTGGGTAAAGCTTCCCAAGCTTGGAGATTCATGAGCCCCCCCCCCTTTTATTTTAAAATCAATTTTGAAGTTTGCTATTTGTTCTAGTAAAAAGAAGGTGGTGACCTCTGTCTGTATTTGAAAGTGCATCTGAGAAGCCATACCCTCAGAGGGGAAATCATTTTGGGCTGAGACCTACAGGAGAAAGGTGATGGGGAGCGGGGGCGGGGGCGGAGCTGGGTGCAGCTGCTCTCTCCCATCTGCAGGCTCCTGTAGTCCTGAATGTGTTGCTTATGGGAGTGGTTGACCTCTGCCCTCCTGATTCTGAAGTGTTTGCTGTCTCATGACAGACAGCCACTGGCCAGCTTTTGTTCTGGTGAGGCCAGGCCCTACCAGGTGGTGTTTGCTTAAGGAAAGGAACTTGCAGATTAGTCCAGGCTGACTTGCTAAATGAGAGCGCCCTGGAGTGCAGACTGTCAGGTATCCCTTGCTCCTGTGACAGGCTAAGCACTGCCATGTGTCCACAGTTCAGGCTGGCTCACCTTGGCGGACAGCTCGACAGCCAGGCAGTAGATCTTCCCGGCTCGAGTGATTAAATGGAAGTATCTCCCTCCTCCCCCGCATCAAAGATGCTGCAGTAACTTCACAGAAAGAACTGCCGTTCTAAGTGCGATTCAGCCACTGGGATGAGCACTGTGAGAGAGGTGCCTGTCTCCTTCCCCCATGGCCCATCATCACTCAACCAGCTCCTTTTATCCCCCTAAGACCAAAGCCCAGAGACAAGCTCCATTGCTCTAATATTCCTTACGATATTGGCATGTATGTTTCCTGGAGTTAGTAGCATTCCGTGGTCCTGGGAATTGTTACAGATGTCACTCTCCTGAAGAACAAGGAGAGAATGGTGGGACTCGGTGAGGACTGGCTTTATCTGGCATGAGGCACAGCTGGAGGCCACATGACTGAGTTAGCGTTAATGAGGCTCATATGGGGACTCTGTGGCTTCTTCCTTTGTCTCCCCTTGTCCTCTTTCCTCACTACACCCAACCTCAACTCACACATGGACGGCTCATCTTTGTTTACAGCAGAGATGTTACATGTTCATCGCTGTACTTAGGGCAGTCCTAGACCATGAAATCTAACTCTGAGGTTCCCATTCAGACACAAGTATTTTTGCGAGTATGTGTTTATGTGTTTGGGCAGGTATACGTGTGCATGGTTATGTCTGTGTTTTTTGGGCATGTGTGTGTGCAAGCACAGGTATGTATGGTTGTACATGCATGCGTGTGTGCAGGTCAGAGGAAACCTTGGGTGTTGTTCTTATTGGAAACATCCACCTTGGGTTTTGAGGCAGTTTCTCACTGGCCTGGAACTCACCAGTTAGCTTAGGCTGGCCTGTAAGCCCTTGGATCTGCTTATCTCTCTGCCCCTACAGCATTGGGGTCACAAGGGCATGTCACTGTGTCTAGCCTTTTTATGTAGGCCCTGTGGTCAAACTTAGGACCTTGTACTTGCAAGATTGAAGCACTTTAATGAACCTTCTCACCTCCCCCCCACCCCCCGGATGATGTCAGTATATGTTCAAAAATTCAAACCTGTTTTGGAAGTGGTTTGTCTCTCTGGTTTCTTGAATGCATCGTTGAGATGTGGGGTTCAGCTCTTTGGGGACCTGGAGTGAAATCAGTTGCTCCAGGCTTTGTCCTTTATGGTGGTGGTGTCTTATTTCTTCTCTGGGTACTGGGGACATAATTCCTAGTATCTGTCTGTCCCTACCAAGGTCTCTGTCAAGTGTTTGTCCACTGCCCAAGTGGTTTAGCTGAAATCTGTGGTGACCGGGAGTTGAATTGCCACCATCAGGAAGTGCTGGCGGGAGTTTGCCAAGCGTCATTCATCACCGAATGACAATGATGGTCACTGTTGAGTGTGCTGGTGCCAGCCAGGGTTTTATACTCGCCCATCTTCACGGCAGCCTTTTCTCCGTAGTTATTAGCGCCTTTGTATAAAGAAGGGCTGGGTTTTGGAGGGAGAGAGCAGCAGTTTGAGGTCACTGAGCTGGAAGGGGTTTGTCCTCCAGCAGATTAACTTCAGGGCTCCTCTCGGGCTGGTTTCGTGCAGAAGCGGCCTTGCACATGCATTTCATTTTCACCCCCCATTGTTAGCCCGCAAGTTCCCTCTCTTGTTGCCCAATCAATCAAACACACATTTAAAAAAAAGCCCTTTGATTATGGAAATTTTAAAAAAGTACAAAAGAGGAGGCATAACAGTATAATGAGCTCCATGTACCCATCACCACTTTCAACAATGACCGACACATGGCCAATTCTGTTTCATCTTTGCCCCATTTTCATCTCCCATCCCAAACTGAGTTTCTTCAAAGCAAATCTCCAGACACAATATCTTTTTATTCCAGGCAGGCAGGCGTTCTGAGATCTACTGTGTTTTGGGCTATGTGCTGGTTGCTATGAGGGATTAAAAAATGTGACCCCTGCCTTATGCAGAAAAGATAGCAAGCCACGTGAGAAAGTAACACAAGTAAAGATTGTGTGTGTGTAGCTGGAGGTTTATTTTTTAAAGTCCTCGTAGGAGTCTATTGACTAGAATTCAGGATGCATTTCGTTAATGAGAAAACAAACACAAATTAATTTTTTTAAATGTGTAGCCCAGGCTGACCTTGAACTTGCGATCCTCCCGCCTCTGCCTTCTTTAACAAGGCATGCACCACCACAACCAGCTACATTTTTTCTTACAAACACCTTAAGCTGAAAGGAAATGATACACATTAACCTTAATGACAAAGAACTGGTCTTATATAGGTATCACTTGCAATTGGAAAGGAAAAAACCCTAGTGAAATGCGGTCAAGAGATACCAACAAGGAAGGTATGAGCGATAAGGCAACAGCCTGTAACCAAGGCTGGGAGGTCACGTGATGAAGGCATTTGCTCCACGCATCAGGCCCTGGGTTCAGTCTCTGGTACCACCATAAAAAAAATGAAAATGGCCAATAAGTGAATATATGAATGATGTAATCTTCTCTACTCATTAATTATATAATTAAAATAATTAATATTAAGTATTAAAGTATATCAATCAAGTGAGGACAGTGTTGGGGAGACGGCTACGTGAATAAAGCACTTGCTTTGGAAGCATGAGGACCCAAATTTGCTCCCAGGAACCCAGATGAAAAGCAGGGCATGATGGCGCACTGGTAATTCTTGCCCTGGGACGGCAGCAGAGGAAGGGTCCCTAAGACTCGCTGGCTGGCCAGCCCGACCTACTCAGCAAGAGTAGGATCAACAAAGGACCCTATCTCAAAAGGCAAGGCAGAAGAG